TCTTAGTTGGATCTTCACCATGCAGTCGTCTCGATTATTGCTGAGAGCCTCAAATAGCATCACAGGGACACGGAGAGGGGAAAAGGGAGAGGGAAAAAGAAAAAGCGGTGGATCCCGGCTGGCTTTGAGAGGTTATTGAGGAACGTCCACCACAGTGCGTGCAGAGGAGTTTAATATTTCTTTGCTCACTGGTTTGGCAGCTAAAAAGATTGGAAATGACACTAAGTATTTCTCAAGCTTGCATAGGTGATATAGAAGTTCACAATCACTGACGCACAGGCATAAAGGGCATGTATATCATTCACAAACGCACGCGCACACACGTGCGGGTACATAAAAGAATTCCGCAAAGGTCATTTTTGACAGCGGTAAACAACCATCCTACCACAGGCTCTGCTTCTGATTCAGAAATACAAAACATTTTGATTTGCTTTTGAGATTTTTGTTTGTTTGTTTGATTAACTTTTCATTTCAAACTCAAACATAAATGTCAAGCTGGCAGAGGAAGATTGTATCTATGAAGGAAAACTAAACATTGGTGAAATTATGGTTTGCTGTAGTGATAGTAAATGCATCCAGAACGGAAAGAAAAGTATAAAGAAGGATTATAATTTTATGATAAAAGCCATACTCCTTTGAGCTGATCTTCACTGTGCCAGTGACAATGCAAAACAAAGACAGAAAATGATTTGAAACCCGCTGTGCCTTCCAAGACAAAATTATCTTTACATGCTGTAAGATTTATGAATTTGTTCTTGGTTTTGAAAGCAATTGAGATGACTTAATAATTTCTTTCCAAGCAAATTAAACTGTTTCCTCTGTGAACCCTGGTAATCAGCTTAAGTGATTACATCGGTCGTAAATATGAGATGATGAAAGCTCAGTGTTCAGAGTGCGTAGTGCCCTGAGGAAGGCTAAATGGGAGTTCTTGGGTAGATATGATAGACCATCTCACAAGGACTGTATCAGATGCCGGGGGAAGGGGCTTGTGTGGAGTTTGGTTGCCCTCTAGCTGTCAGCATTGAGATTGGGTTATGAAATATGGTCTGAAATTGTGGTGTAGGTGAGTTTATGAAGTGCCATGAGTTAGTTTGGGGAGTTTGAGCTGAAACGTGAAACACGTTGATAATGCTGGATTCAGTTTCTGCAGAGGAACTGGTGGCTCATAAACATCAGAAGTTGTCAATATCTTCTTAACAAACAAGATGAATCTTCCAGAAATGGGTATAAATCTGTGATTTATAAGCATACATGCCTGGAACACATGAAGCATCAGTGTGTTTGGTTCCTGCTGGAAAGATGAAGAACTTTTTTATTTTGTTTTATTATTTTGTTTTTAGGAAGAATGCTTTGCATATCCTGTGTGGAGCATGATAATTTGACTTGAACGCTGTCTTGACAGCTGTCATCGACTTGCTACAACCAAAGGCTCAACACAGGAACAAGAATAAAAGCCTTGAAAACCACTGCCCTACAAAGACAGACAGCGGTAACTACAGATGCAGAAAAAGGTTTCAGGCTGGATGGTAAACTGCATAACAGATAAAAAAAAAGCTGCAATGGCTTCCTTTGCCTTTTTAGACTTATTATACGACTCAAAAAAGTCAGGTATAGAAAAAAATAAGAACCTACTCAATATCTTAAATATACAGATATTTGATCTTTATGGAATTCAGTATCTAACAACTTTCTTGTCCGTTTCAACTACTTTGATTCTATAGTCCATAGCTCATATGGATTAAATGTAGTTCTGTTTTGTCTGGTGTCTGTCTGTCCATCTATATTTATTTTGCAGTCAATCTAAAATATTAATTTATAGCTTCATACATTTGGATATGTATATAACCATATAACTTGGATATATAAAGCTGAGATGGCAGCTAAAGAGAACTGCTAGTTAGCTGTTTTTATTATGATGAAAATCTACTGCCTCAGTCAAAATGGATATTTATCACTTACGTTAACAGCTAGGGAAAAATCAATAAGTAAATTTAGTTTTAGCTGTGTCAAGTGTGACAGCAGCTGTTTTCACACATTTTTATCCTAGATCTCAATGGGGTGATTTATGCTGTAGGATATATATTTTTCGTATAGAAGAAAAATGTCAAAAATTCTGATTTAGGTCTCATTTTTGACCAAATATGATAGTAGTAGTAGTTATTGCAATTTGTCTGTGTAGGGCCTTTTCCCGTTATCCATTTTTTTCACATGTTATAGATAGCATTGAAGAAAGAAAGCAAAGCATGGAAAAATGAAGGAAGGAAGGATGTTACATTATAAGCCCAAATTTCATTAAAGCTTTAAAAAGTTGTCTAATCAATTTAAGATGACCAATCAGTGTACCTATAAAATCTATCTGCCTTTTATACCTCTTGAACTCAGTAGCTCAGTCTGCTGAATTTGTTTCTTTCCTGCAGTTTGGTGTGTATAAAGTGTGTGTTGTGAGTCCTGTTACAGAGAGCGTAAAACTCTTTGGATTACAGATCTCCTGCCCAGTCCTGAACTAGCCAGGAAAACTCCTTTTTAACTTAACTCTCACATATGTATTTGTGTTTCAAGCAATTGCTGTAAATGCAGGCCTTTTCAGTTTAAATGCTGCCTTGCGTCCAAGGAATGGCCCACGAAGGCTTTGCCTGTTACAGAGGGAGTTTAATGCTGCACCATGTACTTTATTGCCATCAAATGTAATTCATTTTGAGTTGATTGCACTGAAAGCTGTGTTTATCAGGCACCTAGCAACACTGTTTTGAATGAAAATTACCTCTTTGAAGAGCAATTAGGAAAACGAACCTATAGGCCAAATGCCTTTCAGCTCCAGATTTACTTTAATAAACATTATCATACCGTAAATCATGCAAAAAATCTAAAGTGGCATCAGCTAAGCAAGTGTACAAAGTCCCCTGGTTATATTCAATTGAAGGGCATGAGATTTTGATGTAAGAGATGTGAAAGTTGTTTTCCAAGGGTGATTTTAACTAGGAGCTGTGTGCGAGAAACTTTATTGCCATGGCTCAGATTGGCAATGTGACTCAAAATAACAAGATTAGATTAATTGCAGGAAATAGCTCTGACATAGTTTGATGTTTGCATGCATCTGTATTATTCATTGGGAGACCCTATTAGCAGAGCAATATCTTGCTTTCTCATGCATGTCGGCTTAAATGAGTGAATATTTTCAAATCTACCTCACAACGTAGCTCTGAGAATGGGAAATAGGTCTTTTGTAGGGGTGCTTAAAAGGCCACCGCAATGCCAGCACATATGAGAAGGCAATTATATATAATGCCTCATTTTACACTCTGTTACCTATTTTTCGTGAGAGAAAAAGCTAGAACAAGTGCAGTAATAATACCCAGAATGAAGCAAGGAGACTTGTTTTTCTGTAGCGTTTCCCTGTGCTTCCCCCCTCAGCGAACCATAGCATGGCTTGTTTCTTTGTGTTCTAGATCAGGATCCAGATAGCGTCTCATCATCCAAGCCTTACTCCACTTTTCCCCCCATTAGATTTTCTTTTCCCTTAAATTCCCTCACACTCACTCCCCCTCGTACACATACATCTCGCACACACACCTCGTTATCTTATTTGTGGCCTTGGCAGCCAGATTGTTGCCTTGTGGTTCGGTAGCCAGAGTTTTCTCTGTCACAGAGAGCCGTGGGTGCAGAACCTCCACCACACAAAGCTTCCATGAGAGCAGGAAGTCAGTTCCCAGCATGCCTTGCCCATCCCAGTGAAACCTGGGATGGATTAACCTTGGGCTGGGGGACCTTTCCAACTTGGAAAGAAAGTTATGCAACATCCCATACTTATCCCCCCTCTCTATTGCTATGACAGTGAGAAGTGTTGGACTGAGCAGACATTTGTTTAAAACCTCAGGTCCAGTCCTGAGGGTTAGAGCAAACGAACACCCTGATATGTGATGTTCCCTCATATAAGGTTCACTTCTTATGTAATGCTGCCTTTCTCATTGGCACAAGTTGCATAACTTGTAGGACATCACTGTGAGGGTTTTTGGGGGATCATGAGCCATCAGTACTAAAAGCACATTTTGATTCTTTTAAGAAGGTTTTATACTTGTAATCAAGATTTTTCAAAGTGGTTTTCTTCCTATTCCAACACCTTTTTCAAATTTTACCAACTCTTGGATATCAAATCCAAGCTCAAGTCCCAAATCCTGAGTAGGCCTACTCCAGCCCAAAATAAGAAAGCTGAGTTCATGTAATGACTGTGCTTTCAAATACTGCTGTTTTAAAGGAAAATCAATAGAAGTGGGGCTCACAGGTCATTAATCTGTTGCTGGAAAACCAATCCTTTGTCCCAATCAATATGTTGCATCGTCCCATCATAACATAAGAACACTGAAAAACTTTCCAAGTTTTGAGTCTGACTGAATCATATTCATGTGAGTGCAGTTATTAGTGCTACCGCACTACCCCTGCTGCACTAAAAGCAAATATGCTTAGTACAGCACCACACAGTTGGCAACAATCTCTTTATAGTAAGGCCAGGTCAATGAGGTTATGAGATAGAACTGTTTTACTGTGTGGATCTTTTCACAAACAAAATACCTGATAAATGCTGAGATTCTGGGTTCTTTTTTACTATGTAGTCTCCCTTTAAGGACTTAGCTAACAGTACTGCACATCTAGAATTTGAACACAGGACCCCTCTATAACACAGGACACAGAGTCACCTCAGGGCATTTACAATTTCAGTTTTTATTGTGCTTCAAACTAATTTACATTGAATCAAGTTACCACAAAGTAATTGCCACAGAGACAATCTTTGGCCCTCAGGGCCCCTGTGGGTCTAGGGCAGTTGGCCGCTTTGCTCGGCTGGTAATCCAGCCTTGGTTGCCGATTTGCTATGTAACATTTGCTAAAGAAAGCAAAAGGACTTTCTCATGAGGCTGTCGGAAACAGTCGGATGGTCGTTACTTGGAGAAGTGAATTGTGGGTAGTACTGACTGAAGGGATAACCATTTGTCTCCCTTTATTCCCAGGTGGCTCAGGGAAGCACCGACCCAAAGAACCAAAGAAGAAGAACAAGCAGAGGCTGCGGTTTCGGGCCCAGAACCAGCACAGCGACCACTTGGCCTCTGCGCGCACCAGCCAGTGAGGAGTGAAACCACGGACTTCCCATTGAACAAAGAACCAACGCAAAGCTGCTAGCCGCTGCTGCACCAATATTCTGACCGACGATTATCCCGAACCCCACCACCTCCCCACCTGCCTCCCAGCCCACCCCCAGCTTACCCCCCTGCCCTCCGGGACACAACCATGACTCACAAATCTGTCACTCCAAAAATATATGTCTAACGT